TAGTTATAACCAGATGGTTTAAATGGGCACTCCCCTAGTTGGGGTGCAGGTACGGCAGATAGTGTAAAACCTTCGGGTGGACTACTTAAATTAGGCACTCAAAAGGTGCACGTGTGGCTTAATGTACCATCGTTGTAATTGCATATAAAATACCATTTCAAATTCTAATAAAAGCTTTTAGGCCAAAGAGGTCTCCTTAACACAAAAAAAAAAAACAAAAACAAAGACCCCATATAACTCAACAAATAATTAGTAAAAAAATTTATTCTGTATATATAAATTCTATTCCAGCCTCTATAAAGCTATTAACTTGCTTAAAGCCTATTATTTTCAGTTTAATTGATAATAGATACTTATTAAAAATATAAACAACTTCAACTTTGCTTTCTAAATAAAATAATATTTTTTAGGTTTTTTTAAGCATCTCTGGTCAGAGATATATAACTTATATATCTCTGGCCTATTAACCAATCAAAATATATGGAGGTCATATGATATATGTTTTAGACCAACACAACTTGTCAGATCTGTTTGTATAACCCAAAGCACCAGTTCCACATTAACTCGAATCTGTTTTATAACCCAAAGCACTAGTCTTATATATACTTAATAAAAAATTTTTTATAAAATTTCTTTTTTTTAAAGAATCACATTTTATTACAAAAAAAAAATTACATAATATACAGAACCAACTCCTATATATATACAGAACCAACTTCTATATAATATACAACTAAGTAATATATAAAATTAACTCCTACGTAATATACAAAACAAATCCTGCATAAAACAAAACCAACTCCCACGTAATGTATAAATCTAATACTAAAAAAAGACAAAATTCAAGACAAACAAAATTCACAATATTGGAAACAGATGAACAGAACACAACACCAAAATAGACATCTGAAGAGAACTAAATAAAATTGAAAGAATAAAAGCACAAATTTCAACAAACTACATACCAACCCAAAAAGGTGAAAGCTATAATCTAACAATGAATTTTATACTGATTCTAATGACAAAGATTCAATTACACTAACACCAATGACGAGGATTCAATTGTATTAACTCTAACAATGAAGGCTCAACTACACACTTAGAAGAAAAAGTAGTAGTCAGTGAAACTTAAACAATAAATTTATACCAACTCCAAAATGAAAAACCAACTATATACTGGAAGAAAAAAAGAAGTATGCAAATAAAACAAAAAAACAAAAGCACAAATTTCAACTAACTATATACCAACCTGAAAAGGTAAAAGCCACAATCCAATAATGATATCGACTCTAACGACAAGGATTTAATTACATCAATACTTATGACAAGGATTCAATTACACCAACACCAATAGCGAAAATTCAATCCAATAATGAAAACTCAACTACACACTTAGAAAAAAAAGTAGTAGTCATTGAAACTCAAGCAATGAATTTATATTAACTGTAAAACGAATTATCAACTACATACTAGAAGAAAAAAAGAAGTGTGCAAATGAAACTGAAAAAATAAAAGCACAAATTTTAATAAATTATATACCAACCCAAATAAAGCTGAAAAAGTGAAAGTTACAATCTAACACAAATTTTATACTGACACCAATAACAAGGATTTAATTACATTGATACCAACAACGAGGATTCAATTATATCGACTTCAACAATAAAGACTCAACTACACATTTAGAAGAAAGAAAAAGTGATAGTTAGTGAAACTCAAGCAATGAATTTATACTAACTTCAAAATAAAAAACTAACTACATACTAGAAGAAAAAAATAAGTGTGTAAATGAAACTAAAAAACAAGCACAAATTTCAATGAACGACATACTAACCCAAAAAGGTGAAAGCCACAATCCAACAATAAATTTTATGCTGACACCAACAACAAGGATTCAATTGCATCGACTTCAACAACAAGGATTTAATTATATTGACTCCAATAATGAAAACTCAACTACATACTTAGAAGAAAAAGTAGTAGTTAGTAAAACTTAAGCAAAGAATTTATATCAACTCCAAAATGAAAAACTAACTACATACTGGAAAAAAAAAAGAAGTGTGCAAATAAAACTGAAAAAACAAAAGCACAAATTTCAACAAACTACATACAACCCAAAAAGGCAAAAGCCACAATCCAACAACAAATTTTGCACTGACACCAACGATGAGAATTCAATTATATCGACTCACAATAACAAGGATTCAATTATATCGACTCTGACAACAAAGACTTAACTATGCATTTAGAAGAAAGAAAAAGTAATAGTTAGTGAAACTCAAGCAATGAATTTATACCAACTCCAAAACAAAAAACCAACTATATACAGAAAGAAAAAAAGAAGTGTGCAAATAAAACTGAAAAAACAAAAGCACAAATTTCAATGAACTACATATCAACCCAAAAAGGCAAAAGCCACAATCTAACAACAAATTTTACACTGACACTAATGACGAGGATTCAATTATATTGACTCCAACGATAAAAACCCAACTATATACTTAGAAGAAAGAAACAATAGTAGTTAGTGAAACTCAAACAATGAATTTATACCAACTCCAAAATGAAAAACCAACTACATACTGGAAGAAAAAAGAAGTGTGCAAATGAAACCGAAAAAATGAAAGCACAAATTTTAACAAACTACATACCAACACAAAAAGACGAAAGCCACAATCTAACAACAAATTTTACACTGATACCAACAACAAGGATTCAATTATATTGGCTCCGATGATGAGTATTCAATTACATCGACTCCAACAACAAAGACTTAACTACACACTTAGAAGAAAAAGTAGTAGTCAGTGAAACTCAACAATGAATTTATACCAACTTCAAAATGAAAAACCAACTACATATTGGAAAAAAAAAGAAGTAAATGCAAACTAAAAAAATGAAAGTACAAATTTCAACAAACTACATACCAACTCAAATGAAGCTGAAAAAGCAAAAACCACAATCCAACACAAACTTTATACTAATACCAACAATGAGAATTCAATTACATACCAGAAAAAAAAAAAGCAGTAGTTAAACAAAACCAAAAGAAATCAAAAAAACGAAACTTGCAATGAAAGTTATACTAATTCTAGAGTGAAAGCTTTCTGAAAGAAAAAAGAAAAGCATTAGTCAAGTGTAGAGTTTGAGACACAGGTAAAAAAATAGGCATGCTCTGTAGGCATACCTTGTGCCATGGGCATGTCCTATTTTAGATTACATACAATTATATATACTAACCAATCAGTTTATATAAGTTTATTAAATATTTTTTAAACACAACTATTATATAGTTGATGCATATATAAATTCTTTTTAAACGCAGCTTTTAAACTTGATTTATCTCACATATATAGCAGTTTTTTTTCTTATTGCCATGTTGAAATAAAAAGAGTTGACTTACTATATATATATTGAGAGGAATTTATAAAACAGATTATTTAAAAATTTAACATAAATATCAAATACTACCTTTAAATAGATATGATTTTAATTCAAAATTCTGAGACTATTTTTATTCAGAAAATTGCTAGATTAACCATGTTATATTTGATAAGTATATTTTTTAAGTATTTTACTCATCCAATTTAAACAAAAGTTACAATTAATTCTAAATAATAAATTAATTGATTAAATCACAAATAAAAATGAATTCTATATGATTTTTTTAGTTGTAACTTACCTTGGTAAATATATTGATTATATCTATGTTATTGGGATAAAGAGATAATATTGTCGATTGACCAATCTTCTTCACTAAAACTTTGTAGCATAAAATTATTATGTTTCTTTACCAAATAAAGAAGCATTCTAATCTCTTTCAATGCTTCAAAATCAAAAAACTCATTCATTACAGAAAGTTCTTTATAATTTGTATCAACTACATTAATATCTTCATTAATTTTTTCCTATCCTTCTGTTTTATTATCTTCAAAATCATCTTCTGCCTTATTGTTTTCAAACAATATATCAAGATTTTCTTCGATAGGCTTGAATAGATAAAATTTTTGTTTGCTATTTTTTTTTTTTTACTATGATAGCTTTTTGAAATTCATTCTTTATATGTTTGAGTCTAGAAAGCATATCAGAAAAGAGATGACTTCTTGATTTTGTTTTTGTAATACCCAAAGAAGAAAAAAATTGGTTACATGCAACACTATGGAGAACAATTGCAAGTACTTTTATAGCAAAGTGACAAAGAAAAGATGAATTGCTTTTAAATTTAGTCCAAAATTCCCAGAAAGATTTTTAAGAGCTATATGAAAGAAAATTAAAAGAAAATCACTATTTTTATAGTTAATTAATTCTTTGTAGAAAAAGCTAATATCTTGTTTATTGAAGTTCCAGATTTTTGCTAATTCTAAACACTAGTTGAAAACTAGAAATTCGACCAAGACGAATTTCAATAAAATTCAGCACCAATTCGACTCGAGAGTTTAAAATTCAACTATTAAGTATTCGACATGGTCGAATTATTGATATATTCGACCTAATTTTGACAGAAATTCAATAGTCGAATTTTTTAAAATTCGATCTGGGCGAAGTTTAAAAGAATTCAATCTAAAATTAGCCAGAAATTCAGTGTTCGAATTTTTCAAAATTCACCCAGGCTGAATTTTAAAAAAAAATTTGATCTAAAATTAGCTAAAAATTCAGTGTTAGAATTTTTCAAAATTCGCCCAGGCCAAATTCTGAAAAAATTCGATCTAAAATTAGTTAAAAATTCAATGGTCGAATTTTTTAAAATTCGACCTGGGTGAAGTTTGAAAAATTTGATCTAAAATTAGCTAGAAATTTGGTGTTCGAATTTTTTAAAATTCAACCAGGCGAATTTTTAAAAAATTCAAACTTAAAATAGCCAGAAATTCAATAGTTGAAATTTTTTAAAATTCGGTGAAAAATTCGATCATTGAATTTCTGGCTATTTTAAGTTTAAATTTTTTAAAAATTCGTCTAGTCGAATTTTAAAAAATTCGAACACCGAATTTTTAGCTAATTTTAGATTGAATTTTTTTAAACTTTGCCCAGGTCAAATTTTAAAAAATTCAACCATTGAATTTTTGGCTATTTTAAGTTTGAATTTTTTAAAAATTCACCTGGTCGAATTTTAAAAAAATTCGAACACCGAATTTCTAGCTAATTTTAGATCGAATTTTTTTTCAAAATTCGGATAAAAATATATATGCCCAAGAAAATTTAATTACATGATTACTGAAGTCTTTGCTTTTCAGAAGAATAGTTAAACCAGACTGATTTAATTCAGTCGAACTTAACTAAGAGTAAACTTTGAATAAATCTGAAATAAACTATAAATTTTTGATGATTGAATTTTAATAAAATTCGATCTGACTGAATTGTATCTAAACAAATTTTAATCTGACCAAGTTCAGTAGACAAATTTTAACAAAATTCGATTTGGCTAAATTGTTACTAAATTCAACATATATAAATTCAATTAGATTGAAAAAACCTATTACATATCTAGCTGAATAATACAATACAAAAATTCGATATAAAATTAATATACTAAATTACATATGAATTTTTCTATTAATTGGCATAATAGCAATATATTCTTTTGAACTTTTTTTGTATACTAATTTATAAGGTCTAGGTACAAATTGGTTCAAAATTTGGTGAATTGGTATTAAACAATCACGACTAATCGGAAAAAAGTCTTTAGTCCAAAGTTTAACATTGCATAATCGACCTTCTTCCTTATTCATTCCGAAATAGAGTCTTGTTGAACTATTAGATGCTGGTTTATACTAATGCACAAATGCTAGATTATATTTGAGTTGGCTATTATTCATATCAATTGTATGCTGAATAAAATATTGTATTTGGACAACATATGTATCATAAGAAACTCTATCTTAATTAATAAATCCAGCCATAATAAATGAGCTTCTTATATGCCAAATTGACATAGTTGATCCAAATATTTCTGAACTAATTCGCAAACGGCCAAATTGGTCTCCAAATGGATAAATTAATCATCTCTAATACCACTAAGTAGTATCTGAAATGAATGTTCAGGATAGGCAGCCGAATAATACTCTAATAATAAATTTGGCATTTTATTAGATATAACTATATGAATTTTTGAGGGACTCAAAAATTCTCTGGAAAAATCTTTAACACCACTAGCTAAAATTGTTTCAATGCTTCTTGATATTTAAAGAAATCTTTGTAATTCATCAGTTTCAAACTGGTCTGATGATGCTAAACTTCCAATTGTTTTTTTTATTGAAAGTAATTCAAGCCCTTTTATAGTACCAGTTTGGTTAATTAAATCATTAACCATACAGTTTTGCATAAGTCGATGCATTAATTCTGGTTCAATTTGTCTATGACTATTTGAAAGTGAATTAAGATAGCCATTTATCTGCTCAAATGAGAAACACCAGAATAAATAAAGTAGTCCATAGTCAAGGCAGCATTGAGTAATGTAGAGTGCTAGATGAAAATTTGGTGTAATATATTTTTTACTATATCCTTCTTCAATTTGCTTAATAAGAAGAATAAACCGATTATATGCCTCTT